CTATGCTACTTAGGTAACGCCTTTAATGTGACTTGGCAGTTGATAATTGATGTCAAATAATTAAGATTGCATAAAATGATTACAAAAGTAACTGTTAACTGGTAACTGTGGTGTTAAAGTTATGCTGTTAAGGTACCGCTGCCGTAAACTTATGCTGTTAAAGTGACGCTGTTAATGTTACTTGGTAGTTGATAATTGATGTTAACAAAAGTAACCGTTAAAGGGACGCTGTTAAATGTACGCTGTTAAATTGACACTGTTAAAAGTATGGTGTTAAAGTAATGCTGTTAAGGTACCGCTGTTAAAATTATGCTGTAAACTTATGCTGTTAAAGTGACGCTGTTAATGTTACTAGGTAGTTGATAATTGATGTTAACAAAAGTAACCGTTAAAGGGACGCTGTTAAATGCACGCTGTTAAAGTGACACTTGTTAATGTCATTTCAAGACTTATCCCTCGCTTATTATATAAATAGCTAGGCATATGCCCTGCCAGCAGTATCTTTGCTTAAGATTTAACCACACTTATCAGATGCCTTTGCCCCCTTTTTTTTTAAGTCTGCGCAAGTGTTGCTCTGGCACGATGTCGATAACATTTCAACTCGCCACGCATTCACGCATAATTACAGGCAGCATATGAAAGACACACACAAGCACAGCACAGCTAAGCTGTGCGTGTGCGCACATCTTGGGGGCGCAATTAGGAATAGTCTCTATGGGCAGCAGCCCCTTGATAGAGGCTCTCGGGGTGGATGGGCTCTGCAGGCGAACTCTGTCATGTCACTTCCTGTAATAGAAACCAAATTGAATGTGCCGCATGCAACTAAACGTGTACACAAATCTATTTGCCGTATCAGGCACAGCCCTTGGATCGCAGCAACAACAACGACAGCTTCCGCCGCAACAGATGCAAATCTCGGGGCGCCAATGGAAACCGCATTGGGACGTTGACTTCTCAGAGCAGACAGCAGCCGCAGTCGCAGCCGCAGTCGCAGCAGCAGATCAAACGTAAATAGGGCGGAAAATTATGCGTAGATAGTTGAAATGAAATCGCATTCACAATAGCAATAAATACAAGCAAGAGCGCACGACTAGCCTGATACCCTGCACGCAGCAACGAAATGTTGAGCTTGGAAATGGCTATACAAAATTTGGATTATATATGTTAACTATGCGAAAACAAATGCCTAAAAACCTCGATTCGAATTGGACATTTATCGATATTTACAAAATGGCGGCAGCTATCGATAAATTGAAATTAAATTGTTATCAAATTTTCTCAAGTTTATCCAAGCTTGGTAATAGATACCTTGCCTCCATCTGCCTGTTATTCGATACCTTTGCCTGTTACATACATTTTCACAACTACAGTATACCCTTCTTGTGCAGGGTATCTCAATAATAGCAGGCAACTTGACATTTGTGCTTTGATGCGGGTTTCGCATTGAACTCGACGAACGACTCGTTGCCCCCCTTTATCCCATTGTGTTGTTTTGTCGGCTCGTCTTTGGCTTTGGCCTAAACGGTTTCCCGCTTGCAAAATTGTCGTTTTCCTGTTTGGGAGCTTATTTTTTTTTTTTAATGCACGATTTGGTAATTTGCTGGCTACTGGCCAAGAATCTGGGCCTGAAACAGATCACATCACGTTTGCTCAGCCTGACCTCGCTCTCTCTTCCTCTCTCTCTCGCTATCTCTTCCTCTCTCTCTTTTCCTCTCTCCCTCGTTCTCTTTCGCTCTTCAGACCGGTCTACCTTGCAATTATCCAACTTGTGTTGTTGTTTTTTCTGCCGCTCATCTTTGTTTGCCTTCGCTTGGCCCTTTGACAGCTCTGCCCTTTAGCCTCATTTTCCAGCCTCAATCTGGAGCCCCTTTAACCGATTTATGTATAGCCTGCGATTGAGCGTTTTCTCATCTCATTTCGAAAGGGGCTTCCGCTGGAAACTTTGTTTAAAATGCAGCAAAATTTGCATGTCTGCAAAGAGGAAATTGATTTATAAGCGCATTCTGATAATTACTCTGATTTGCTAACTTGGGAATTGTAAAGTAAAGCCCTTAACTATGAAATTGAATGAAATCAACATTTGTTACTGTCAAATCGAGTTACTGAAGGCCAAATCAGGCCTATTTAATGGTCTATCTTGAGGCTTGTGGCTTGAGGCATGGCTGAAGTGTTGCCGCCTGATTATGACACTGACAGCAACTGTCGGCGCAGTTCTGGCGGCAATTACAAACAACAAAAGATGCAGATACATGCGGCAGCTACAGATACACAGATACGCACTCACAAAAGATACAAGACACAACAAATAAATAGATATATATGAAACACAATGCACAATGCACAAATGATAAATGCAAACAACAAAAGCGGCGACAACAACAACGTAAATAAAAAGAGGAAGAAAAGTGGAAGAGTGCCAACAACAAAAGCTGGAGAACGTGACGCTCTCTATGTGTGTGTGTGTGCGAGTGTGTATGTGTGTGTGTCCGAGTGTGTGTGTGTGTGTGCGAGTGTGTGTGCGTTTGGAAAAGCGCAGTGAAAAGCATGGAGAACAAGTTGAAGAAAACCCGCGCAGCTGCTGCGCAGTGTAAATGACCTCTCAAGATAAAGTTGTTGCCAACACACAAGCATTCTTCTTCTTCTTCTTCTTGTCGTTGTTGTTGCAGTTGTTCCTCTTCCAGTTGTTGTGCGAGCTGCTGTTGCCCGCCGACTTGCAATTTCCGCAAGTGCGGAAATAAGTTTTTGCCCAACTAAAACAAATACGAAATATTGAATCATTAGCCAAACAAGTTTCGAACTGAAAGAGGAGCGTATATTGTTATCTGTGCAAAAAAAACAATGCCAACTATTCTTTAAGCCATAAAGATTAAAATTGGATGTATAGTCATGTTATTAGCTGGAAAATTGTCAAAGATATTACGAGGTTAATCACCGCGACTGCGCTTGCTAAGTTGCTAGCTTTGCTGACTGTTTTCCTATATGATTCTATATTAAATCAATCTATTAGCGAAATTGAACTATAAATGAATGTAGGAGCATGTTTTATCTTCATAGATTTAGTAATTGCGATTGCCAACTTGATAGCTTTGCTAACTGTTTTTCTATATAATTCTATATAGTAAGTTATTATTAAGTTATTATCCAAATTAAACTATAAATGCATGTAATAGATATAGGCATTTTATAGAGTGGAGGAAATCTTCATAGATTTGATAAGGATTATCATTGGGACTGCTAGCTAACTGTTTTTCTATATAATTCTATCTGGTATTAAGTAGTTAACCAAATTAAACTATAAATGAATACATGGGCATATCATATATTCAAGAAAGTCTTTATAGATTCGATAAGAGCAATCATTGCGACTGCCAGCTTGCTAGCTTTGCTAAATGCTTTCTTAAAAGCAAACCATAATAATTAATATTTCATTTATAATATTGAATGATTAGAAATTAAGGAACAAATATTTGATTAGCTGCAGAAAAGACTCACAGGCACAAATATGGGCCAAATTATATTAGAAATGGCATATTATCTGAGTAAAGAAATCGTCATATATCTGGTAAGGGTATTCCTCAGTGTCTGCTAACTTGCTAGTTTTGCTAAATATTTAATTAATTTATAAGCATTTCGTAAATATTGAATCATTAGCCAAACAATCTTATTAAATGACAGCTTATAAAATCACAACTTATTATCTGGCAAAAAAGTGTCATATAAGGGTATTCCTCAGTGTCTGCTAACTTGCTAGCTTTGCTGACATTTTTCCCCCCCGCCCTAAAAGCAACAAGAGCTTTAACTGAAATGTCTTGTGGTGCGCTCATGGCTTGGCTTTGGCTTTGGGTTTCGTCTTCGGCTTCGTCTTCGGCTTCATTTTATTTGGTTATCCATGAATTTGAGTAGGCTGCTTTCGAAAGAGAACTGTGCTGGCACGTACAACGTTCGAATGGAAAATGGAAAATGGGGAAACATTCAAATGGGTCAACTCGCGTTGCGCTAAACCAACGAGTTGTTAATAGCTTTATTTATATGCTCATAGCTCGTAACTCCCAGCTCGTAACTCATAAACTGCAAAACAAGACGTTGCTGCGACGCTTCCTGTCCGCTGACTTTGGCTTTACACACACACACACACACACACACTCAGTCGCTGACATATCAATTAACAATTAGCAATTGCATTAACGCAATTAGCCTGCATTGATTAAAGCCTCTGCCAAGCACTTGTCGGGGGCCACGCACATAACATATAAATCACAACTCTCTGATATCATTATTTGGGTCACATTGCTTGCAGGGCTTGCATTGCCCCCCCCTTTCCCCTTATCGTTCGCCCTGTCGATTTATAAATAAGTGCCAGCTATTTCTATTGCGCCTACGCATTGCCCAAAAAGCCACAAGCTACGCTCCCCTCCCCCCTCCCTCCCTCCCTCTCTCCCTCCCTCCCTCTCTACGTATAAGGCGCAAGAAAAAGCTTATTAATAAGCATAATTAAGCATAATAATTTTGTTTTGAAATATGCGCTAGTTTTCATTATATTATTTACGAGCACATTATTACATCGCCCAAGACAAATTTCGAAAATTTATGGTACGACTAGCTTGCTTTGGTAAGGGGAGGGGAAAAGGGGGTGGGGGAGTGTTGCATGTGGCACATGCATTTTAATGCCACATATGGCACATATGTATATTTGGTTCTTCAGCACAAGTCGGAAGTGTGGCATGATTCATTCACAAGATGCTGATAATAAGCTTGAATCTGGAATATAATAGAGTAGAAGTTATTTTAAAACCATGCTAAAGGCGTGAACTATTTGAAAATAAGTTTAAAAGTGCTTTAAAAGGGGTTTAAAACCGGTTTTAAAATGGGATTAAAATAGTTTTAGACTAATATTCAATAGATAAGCTGAAGTTTTGATAGTATAACTCTCATATGTAAATAGAAGTTTATTTATTTTCCATACATTCCCTATTAAATCCCATCTAAATACTTTTTTACAGGCGCTGCCAAAACTCTGGATGGAACTGAACCGAAAAAATGTCGATAAAACGCAAAAATAATAAGCTAAGAGAGAAATTAATTTTCATGGTTTTGCCGGCCATCGAGAAGTGAAGAGCAACTCAAGCCAAATACACAGCGAAATCAAGAAACAAAGAGAGAAAAAATAAAAAACGCTGCGCAAACTCAAAAAGCTAACGAAAACGAATTCGATCGATTTGCATTGACACATTTAGTTAGAAATAGGAAACCCGAAAATCCGAGACGACGACGACGACGACGAAAACGGAAATGGATCTCAGTCTTGAACGCGACAGCTCTGCGCTGGGCAGTCTGTTCCAACAGATCATAAATGACATGAAGGTAGGCTATTGATTATTTATCCGGTATTTCGATTATTTTACGGAAGTCAAAAACTATTAGCTGGAAATGCAATTAGAGGAAATGTTAGCTGAGTTTACTCACGAAGAGCTGGTTGACATTTCCAGCGTCAGTTCCAGTTCCAGTTCCATTTCCAGTGAAATTAAACGTTTCGTTCTGGGTTAACTTGTAGAAATGCAACGAGACACGTGTCAAAATCACATGCAATTGCGACAGTTGTCGCAGCTGTGTTTCGTTTCTCGAGACCTATCGAAAACTAAACAAAAAAAAAAGAAAAACGTAAATCAGCAAAAGGTCATTTTCGCTGCAATTGAAAAATCGCTCAGCGACGACGCATTGTCTGAGTTTGAGTGTGTGTCAAGAACTGCCATGCTGGGTTTGCTGCTCTAACAAAGTCAACAAAAACCTCCGGCAGAAATAATTAAAGCCAAGGTCAGAGCAATGTTAAGAATGTGTGTGTGTGAGTGTTAGTATGTGTGCAAAAATAAACAAAAGTTTCAGATAAACAATTTGGGCTTGTTACCGCTGCGAAAACTGTTGCGATAAAAGATATATAACATGCATTGCTCAAGGCTTCGCACATAAATATTTCCGAAAACGTCTAATTGATTTTTTTTTTTTCTGCTCCCTCTCACTCTGATGTTCTGTGCCAAAAATGTTCCAATTAATCTACGCGAAAAGGCACATTTCAATTCAATAACAAAAAATAGATACGTTCGCTTTTATCATTAATTGATTTTAATACTCTATAAATCTAGCTCTAATGGGCATATGGGTAATTAAAAAAAAAAAGCTAGAAATTATAAGAAATATGTTGTGTTCTTTCTGCCTCAAACTTGGGGTTGAGTGAGAATATTGTTTACAAATATTTATTGAGGCATTATTTTATCAGCAACATCCAAAGCTAGCCTTGTATTTCTTATACCCCTGCCATGATTATCCTCATAATACAGGGTATTTCTCCAGTTGAGCAGCACTTATGTCTTATCTATGTTTTTAATTGCAGTGTATCAATAATTTATATTTATTTATAAATTTATATTTATTTTTATTTCTTACTTTCTTTACCATAATACAGGGTATTTCTCCAGTTGAGCAGCACTCATGTCTTATAATTGCGATGCAACATGCAAAGCTACCCTTGTATTTTCTTATACCCCTGCCATGATTATCCTCATAATACAGGGTATTTCTGTATGTTTCATGTCGTATAATTGTGATGCTAAGTCTACGCACTTTGTAGCTATGTTTTTAATTGCAGTGTATCAATAATTTATAGCAATCATGACGCCATACGCGTTCAACTGCTTTCAGACATGAATAAATAAATGTTGGGCTCTTATATGAACTTAATGGCCATTTCAATTAACGCAATACATGGATGTAATATATATGTATATATATCTCAGTTATCTTTTTGCCAATTAAAAGTTCTTGAAAACTATTTCTGGCCCTTCATGTTCATGTTGATGTTCTCTGGCGCCAGTTTGGCTTTGGCCCAAAATCGAAGTGGACTCTCATCCAGCCTAAGCTCTGCTGGCAGCCTAATCTCCTCTCCGAGATGCACAGATCATGACTAATTTATGGCTGTGCATAAGTTAATACCTGTGCTTAGTGTATATTTGGTGTCTGCTTTCGTTTCTATTTTTGGGACACGCTAGAAAGCTGAGAAAATTTCCATGTGCTGGCCGCAGCTTCCGCCATTTTAGCCCATTTCCGACTTGGCCGTCGACAGGTGTTGTACATTTTGTACATTTCGACGCCTTGTCAGCTGCTGTTAAACTAGAAAAAAAAAAGAAGCCAAACTCCGGTGGCAAAAGATAAAAGTGCGCCGCCTCTTGCTATTTATAATGCCGGCCTCTGAGCGTGCCACCTTGGAACAGACACGGGAACAGAGACACGGGCACAGGTAGAGATACAGACACAGATACAGACACAGACACAGACACAGACACAGACACAGACACAGACACAGACACAGACACATACACAGATACAGGGCGAAGGCGCAGACAGCTGTCAGGAATTGTGGATGCGGGCGGTTGCATTTTGTATTTATGAAACTTTTTTGGAAATGTGGCCACGCAATTGTGCAGAAGTTCGTTGTACGCTAGCTGTGTTAGCTGTTTTCCAGCCAGTTGTTGCTGCTGTTGCTTGGCCCGAGTGCGAATTAGAGCAGAAACATGCCTTGAAGCATGTGCAGCATCTAATGTTGTGGGTATTTGTGTGTGCTTAGCCACAGCTGCTGCTGCGCTTCGTTACTTGGCAATTGGCCTCGGTGTCTGGCAAACATAATACCCTGTACCCTTTGAAGATGATAAGAAGAGGGTATATGGCAGTTGTGCAAATGTAACAGGCAGATAATTGCAACTTGAATGCGACTAATAGCCTAATTCCATTGTCAACATTTCTTACATTTTTTGGTATATTGTATCAAAAATAACATACACTTTTATGACAATACAGATAGTTCAAGTGAAGTTTCGCCAAGCCAAATGTGGTCTGTACATTTTCCCATAAGAAAACACATTTTTCACATTTACAAAAAAATGTGACATTTTCCAATAAATGTTGGTATTCGCCCCGAATATTTCGTGTTTTTTTTTTGCGATGATTTATCGAATTTCGTATCGTTGTTATGAAATATATGAAAGTATAATAGGTATATATAGCAATATAATTTTAAATTTTAACAATCTCATAGTTTTTAACATTTAAAGATGACCAAATTCCGCAAAGAGTCCATTAAATGGAGCCTCCACTTCGAGGTCGTATTTTGAGGTAAATCAAATCAAACCGATTAGCTGTTTATTTAAAGAAGCGATATTTTTGCCACTCACATGTTAACGACAACGGACACTTGCCAGTGGAACCGCAAAATGTGAACTTTGAAAATGTAACATTGTTTGAGCATAGTGGAAACAGACTATAACACTTACGTGCGATCTAGCCATGTTTGATTTGATCGATATTTTGTATCGATAACTCCCGAAAAGTGTCGATTCTCAGATTTTGTAGCCTGTATTAAAAGTTATCTGGGATAAAGACGTAGATTAGGGAGGGTAACTATGTTAATGTATAATATAAAACAAGCATAGGTATTTAATTTTTTTAAACCCTTCTCTAACTCTTTTCAAATGTGGGTTACAGCCCTGGTTAAAGGTTGTGGCACTATAATCTTGAAGCTTTAAAATGAAGAAAAGAAACTGAAAATGTATTAAAGATATGCATTTTTCACAGTGTAGCCACACGCTCGAGCACTCCTATTTGTTGTTGTTATAGTCTAGCCCGTATGAGATTGAGGCCTTCAGTTTGGGCCAAAATGCCAATGCAAATGTCAGCTCTAGGTGTTTGCGGTGCTGCATCTTTGAACAGACGTGGCATATTAAACAGACTTAACTTAATCGCAATTCCAATTTCCTAGTCACTAAAATTAGTTTTTGTTTTAATTGCTTCGCTGCGTTCGCCTTAGTTTAGTATCTGTGCATATGTGTGTACATATATTTAGCAAAGATCTTAAATGCCAGCAGACCAGAACAAATTTATGCCCCCGAGGCGAGAGCGAGTCTGGAAGTGCACGAATACGAATACGAATGCGAATACGAATTCGTTTAATATTAAATAAAATATATCTACTAACGGCATTCGCAAGTAGCTGCAATTAAATGCGGCTAATTTCAATTGGATTGCAAAGTCACAGTCCAAGTCCGAGTCCAAAGTTTGTTGTTGTTGTTGATTGTTGTTGTTGCTTATTTGAAATTTTAAGCAAGTGGCGCTCTTTAAAAGGTTGTTCACTCTTTCGGCGCGTCTCGCACGGCTGACTGCCAACAACTTACGTGAATCTGTCATTCTGTCAGTCTCTCACTTAGTCAGTTAGTCAAATTGTCGCATTTGGATGACACTCACAGCTGAATGTGTTACACAAAAGAGCTCTAAATGCGCAATTTTCAGCCGCAAGGCGTCTCTAATAACTATACCCTGTGCCCGTAGAAATCTCTGCTGAGCGTATAAAAACCCTTGGCAAATATATGCAACAGACAAAGGCAGCATATTTTGTATCCAATTAAGTAAAATTCATAGCTTATTGCAGCTTAATTCTACTGTGACCTCGGTTATAAACATCCATTTCGTTATGTATTGGATTAAGTTAAAAATACTTATTACAAGAGCTGGCATACTTCAAGGAAGCATTAAGCTTTTATCTAATTGTTAATATATTTGATACTTTTATTTCTATATTTCTATACTAGAAGAAATTATAATGTGCTTATTCGCGGCAGTTTTAAACACACGCTGAGATCGTCTAGGCTTGCGTCTATGCACTAGCTTAAGTTGCTGCTGAATTTAAACCGGCGACCTCTCGTTTGCTAGTCCGACTTTCAAACAACTAGCCAAATATTCGGAATATGGCTGTCTTGTTAATGTTTTTCATACAAACTACAACCGATTCCATCTAATTGTGGGTTAAATTTTTCACAACCCTTTTCTAATGCTCGGAAAAGGTTCAGTATAGATTTCAACTTCGAGGCTCTCATGGATTGAGCTATGCCTTGGTCACACATCAGTCAGTCAGGAGAATAGCTTCTCTATATATGCACACATATATATATATATAGATATACCCTTTTACTGGGCATCTGCTAGTTCATCATTTGACTTTTGCCGTAAAAGTGAAATTCGCTTAAAGCGACGCTTTCTTTGCCGTTGGCACTTTTCTGGCTTCCTTTTCTTGCCGACCGACTCTCTCAGCTCTTTTGGGCATAACAATTGCTGTCGAGTGCGTCTTAAGGTTTTTATTGTCACACACACACGCACACACATGCACATTAGGCCCATTAATGTCGAGAAATTATAAAAAAACAAATTATGAAAAGCTCTCTCGCATTTGCCTAGGCAATTTTGATGGGCGCGCTTTTATCTCGCTGTAGCTGCGGTCGGCGTTTGCACTTAACAACCAGATAGTAGAGAATCACATAGGTCAGGCCATAGATGGTCATAAAGCTGGCGCCCAGAAAGAGGCCAATCGCGCCGCCAAAGGACATGATCAGCTGATCCGTGCTAAAGACAACGCGTCGCTTCATGCCCATCTTGGGCAATTCCTGCTGTATAATAATGGTGCGCTCGAAGTTGGCGCCAGCATATTGAGTGCCGCCCTAAGAGAAGGGAGAATCTTGGTCTTTAAAGGAAGCATTAACATACTCTATACACTTACTCCACTCTGACCGAGCTCCTCGGCCACAATGAAGCTGTTCTCCTTGCAGAGCGGCAGGCAGTCGCAGTTCCTGTCCAGCCATTTGTTGCGCGCCAGACAGATCATTCCCTTCACAGAGCAGATGTGTTCCTTGGGCCCGGCGGCATAGAAGTAGGGCTTGCATTTGCACAGATCCAGCGCCACATTGATGCGGCACTCCAGACGACACAGACTGGGATGATAGGGCTGCCGAATTGGCCATGAAATCGAATTAATAATCTATCACAGGACTTTTTCCTCTTCTGCTTACACTGTAGTACTTGAGATAGTTCTCCTCGATGTAGCGACACTTGCGATAGGCGACGGGCACATTGCGCACCTCGTCCTCTGCCGATATCGAGCTGAGGAGAACTTTCAGCAAATAGGAGGTCTCGGTGCCCGTATCTATGCCCACCGTGCGTCGATCCTGCGGCAGCATCACCTCGTTCACATCGTGCATAAACTAAGGATATGCCAGTTAAGATTTGTTTGCAATTTCGAGCTATTTACCTCTTACCAGGTTGACATGTGTGCCAGCGACAGCTGGCTTGATTGTGGTCTGGCAATTGGCAAAGGAATTGCATTGACGCACGGGCGGCACTTTGAGCTTGACGCTGTTGATGAATAGAAAGGTAGAAGAGCTAGGAAAAGTTGGAGTTCCATTCGTGGTATATATATATAAATATATATTCCTGTACTCACTCTTTATACCCTGAACCCATTCAATTATATTTGTGGTATTATTTGTGCAAATGTATATAACAGGCAGAAGAAAGCATCTCCGACCCCATAAAGTATGTATGTTCTTGATCAGCAGCAACAGCCGAGTCGATCTAGCCATGACAGTCTGTCTGTCTGTCTGTCCGTCTGTCCGTCCGTCTGTCTGTCCGTCCGTCCGTCTGTCTGTCCGCCCGTCTGTCCGTATGTATGAACGCAAGGATCTCGTAACCTATAAGAGCTAGAGACTTGAAATTTTGGCTGTAGATTCTCCTAGTGCCCGCGCAGATTGAGTTTGTTTCCGATATTCGATAACTTGCCCCGTTTCCAAGTAATCGATAAAAATCGAGTTGAGCAATTTCGACAAATAATATGAGCTAGAGTCACCAAACTTGACATATAGCTTCTAGAATAGTTTATATATATCAAGTATCTTTAATTTTACCCCTGTCGCCCGTTGGAAGAAAGGGGTTCAGGGTATCCCCTAGTCGGTAGCTCTCGACTAGAACCTCTTACTTTTTGCCGTAGGGATTGCCAAATTTGACCAGCTGGGACGTTGTCTGGCACAGGCCCATTTCGGTTAGAGTGGGCGCAAATGAGGGTAGACTCTGGTTGGCAGCGGGTAAAACCTTCTGCAGAATGTTGAACAACAGTTCAACAAAATTGATATTCTCCAGCGTTGTGTCGTTCTCGTAGGGCGCCAGCGTCTCCAGGTTATTGTAGTGCAAGCGATTCACCACGAGCAGAAATTCGCGATAGTAATCGACTTCGTCTTCCGTTGAATTAGTTTCCATATCCCAGGTGCTGTCAATTTTGCTCAAAAAGTTAAATCCCAATCCTAAACCGTGTGCATACTCACTTGTGAACTATGGCTCCTGATACCCTGTCCTCCATGGTGACAAACTGGGTGCAGAGAGTAACTCCCATGAAGGGAAAGGAGCGCAGCGCAAAGAGATATTCGTACTCGTAGACAATGGGATTATCGCGAAAGCGTTGCCACTGCGAGAGGCAGCTGCCGATGGCATAATAAGCGGCTGCCACGATCATTGCCAGCCAGAAGACGCGCTCGATCCAGTGCAGATCCTTGCGCGCCAAATACGGCATGCCATGTATGGCCGATTCCCTGCACAACTCCATCCACCAATCGTGCTCCTCGCCGTGCTCCGAGCTCGTGTTATTTCTCTCCTTGATGTGACTTACCATGGTCGACTGAATGTGCTCGCATGCGGCACATTGGCTTTTAAATGGACTCGAGGTGAGTCCTGTAAATGATGCGCTCGACTAATTACTGAGGGGGAAATGTTTTTCATATATTTAATAATCAACTTTAATGGTATTCTCCTGTTGTGCTTTCATTCTTTCGACATGCATTTTCCATTAAGCTGCCAAATAGAAAAAGGAAATGTTAACTATAACTTACATTGGCCGCGATGCATTAAAATTTCAATAAATATAAGAAAATATTGAAAATCTCTTGATTATAGAGGTCATATCATAATGAATATGCATTTACATATGAACAATGCATATTGTGAATAAAAATTGTGGCTAATTAATTAGATAATTTTCATGCAAATGCCCAAATTTGTTTCACACTCAATTCATTAGCTTATTAATTAACCAATATAGAAACCAGTCCGAAGTAAAATTGTGCCACATTTGCAGCACAAGGCTGAACCTATGAATTACAAAAAAAAAAACCGGCTATGAAATTTTTGTTTGCTCCAAATAAAATATGTGTGAATCTATTTAATCTATTTAATGTTTGTGAACTGTTTGCACAGCTTGATAGAACTTTGACGCAAGGCAGCCAAGTGCCCGGCTAGCTCAGTCGGTAGAGCATGAGACTCTTAATCTCAGGGTCGTGGGTTCGAGCCCCACGTTGGGCGAGTATTCAAATTTTTTGTTGCTTATTTTTTTTTTTTTTTTTTCAAATAATTTTCTTCAACATTTGTCGGCTGCTTTGAGTGATTTTTGGTATTAAATCGAACAACAATGTTGCGCGTTGTGTGGGAGAACTGTACACAAATAGATATACGTACAAATTGGACTATGGCTAATAAGTTTTTATTTATAGCGCTGAACCTGAACACAGTGGCAGCAGCAGCAGCAGCAGCAGCAACAACAGCAAAGTATCCATAATCACAGCGCTGACGCAATACTCAGTCATTTTTATGACAACATCTCGTTTTTCTCCGATTGCTTGAAAATGGCTAAAAGCCCCATTCAAGGCCACAACTTGCCTGGCTCTGCGAAATGGCACAGTGCACAGCTTGTATTTGTGTTGAGTTTATATAGAAAAAGTCACTTATTGTCGGTTGTGTGTGTCGCTTGGCTTTTGTGTTGCCCCCACTCAAAGAGAGTGCACAGGAAGTGCGCAGGATGTGAGCCGAACCAGGCAAAGCCAACTGGGAAACTGGCACAAGGCTATGATGGCCATGATGTGCCGGTTCCTCTCCAGCTTCCGATAGTGCGTTTGTTCTGCAATTAGAACACATATATATAAAGCAGGAATTAAAGCTTTCCATTATAGCTATGACTGCAAGCAGTTCCATTTAAAACCTGCAACTTTAATTTCTGTTTCCTTCGAATCGAACCTCAAACCAGTTGTCGAACTTTAATCCAAGATATGATTTACTAAAAATTATATTTTTGCGCTATGATAAAACACATCAAGCCCCGCCCAGCTGATTGTTAGTAAGCTTAATAAGCTTAAATTGGGAAAAAAATGATTAATTAGAGTTTGAACCATAATGTGAAATAACTGGTTCGAATCATCTTACAACCCACCATTTGAACGGGGTTTAACAGTCAAGTTTTATCTTATAAACATAGTAAAAGACATCGAGCCCCGCCTAGCTGAATATCAGTAAATTATAAGGCTAATTTAAAATTGAAAAAAAAATTTAACTAAAGTTTGAACCATAATGTGAAATAACTGGTTCGAATCATCTTACTGACAATTTTGATGGGGTTTTTATATTAAATTATAAGCTTAATTTTAAATTAGAAAAAAATATTTAACCCGTGTTCGAACCATAATGGTAAATAACTGGTTCGAATCATCGTACGAACAAGCCACAATTTTAATGGGTTTTCATATTAAATTATAAACTTAATGTAAAATTAGAATAGAAATTTTAACTAAAGTTCGAACCATAATGTGAAATAACTGGTTCGAATCATCTTAAAACCCACAATTTTAACAGGGTTTAACAGTCAAGTTTGATCTCATAAACATGGTAAATTAATTAAAAATTGGAAAAAAAAAATAACTAAAGTTTGAACCATAATATGAAATAACTGGTTCGAATCATCGTACGAACAAGCCACAATTTTGATGGAGTTTAACAGTCAAGTTTGATCTCATAAACGGATTGAATAACATACCGATCTTCAGGTTGTAAGTGAATATCACATGTTAAGAGATCTTTTGTTCGGGTTAACACTTGGAAAAATTAAAGTATGTGAACTAGATGACGCTCGTCTCGTCTGATCCAGACAATGATCCCCCGCAGATTGTAATCTGAGGCATGCGAAAAGTGTTTCCTCTTCAGACGCCACAAACAATGCCACGCAGAGGCTGATGGAGAGAAGTCGCCGTCGTCGTCGTCGTCGTCGTTATATTAATTACTTTGCATTATTGTTTAAAGCAAACTGCGGGCAATTGTTGCTGTTGCTGTGAATGTTGCTGCTGTGAGTGGAGGAGACTGTCGTTTAGCCTGGCATTTGGACATGATGTGCATTTGAAATAGTGTGGCGTGATTGAAATGCGATTGAAAGTGGGGAGATGGGAAGGGAGTGGAACACGCTAGCTAGCAGGGCCTCAGCATACTCTATAGAAGTGTATTTGCATCGGTCGGTCCATCGACATGACGCAAAATAAGCTGCAATTAATTAAAATGTTTATGAAATTGCGCACGAGAGCAACAGAAATGTTAAGATAGACCAGAGATAAACTCTCGGCTCGTGTGTATTACGTGTGGGTGTGGCTACATCATCAACAACGTTGTTGCTGTCGTTGTTGTTGTAGTTGTTGTTGTTTCTGTCGTTGTTGTTGTTGTTGTTCCTCTCGTCATTGTCGTTGTCGTCTACACGCCCAATTATATGCATAAGACGTCTGGCTCGAGGGATTGTTTGCATTTGCCAAATATATTCCAATCAGAATTCAATGTCAGGCGAAAGTTCAAGCAATATCAGTCATATCAGCCTGATGAACGCTTTGCGAGGGTTGAGCTTAATAATATTTAATGTATACTAAGAGGAAATTACCCGGCATCGTCCGGATCAAAAAGCAGCCCGCTTCAAGCAGCTACAAATTGAAATTCCCACCTTCTCATTCCCAGTCGCCTTTCTTTAAAATATAACAAACACAAATACAAAAATTATTGCTGTTTTTGAACCGGCGACCTTTCGCTTGCTAAATAGGCTAAGAAGTTACCCGGCATCGTCCGGATCAAAAAACATGCCAACTTCAGGCAGCTATAAATCCAAATTCGAATTCCCACCTTCTCATTCCCAGTCGCCTTTCCTTAAAAAATAACAGACACAAATTTAAAAAGTATTGCTCTATTTGAACCGCCGACCTCTCGCCTGCTAGTTCTACGCACAGATCCTTGTTAGTGATGTTTTTTCAGTATAACATTTGCAATATAAAAGACAACCCTCGCATCTCGCTCTCAATTGGAACAACCTTTGTAACGTTCATCCTAATCTAGTGTAACTAGTTTGTCGTGTTTGGGTTCTGGTCGATCGTATCGGGAATTATGTTAATTCGCAACAAGTTACATTGGAAAAAAAAAACACATGATTGATTAGCCCCATTACAATGTGCCGCTAATTAGCCGGCGAATTAAAACCCTGTTTGGATTCCATATAAAAATGGTCGACTAAACCAGACACAGCGAATCGTGTTTGCAAGTTGTCGAAAATGTGGTTCACATTGTTGCTGTTGTCGTGTTGCCTGTTTGTGTGCCAGGTCCTGGCGACTGATTACGAGATGATTATCGATGATCCGGATATATTCTCCAATTGCAAAGAACCACCGCCGGGCGCCGGAAACATACACAGCCTGTTCAACATGGACGAGCTGGAGCTCACTCTGGATGGGGATACCATACACATTGAGGGCAATGCCACAACTGTCTGGGACATACATCCGGGTGATCGTGTAACGGTAACAAAAGAAAATAGAAACCAATTCCATATATAAGGTTGCGCCTTACTTAAGAACCCAATAATTCTGGTAGGCTACGGCGCGCCTGATGCAACTGGATCGCGGCGTCTGGCAGCCGACGGTGTTCAGTATCGCCACGCAGGACTTTTGCGGCATTATGTATGACAAGGGTCAGTATTGGTTCAAATATTGGACCAGATATGTTAAGAATTCGTCGGACATGGAAAAGAAATGCGTTCATCATAAGGGCGTAAGTTGACGGCGCAACTAATTGGGTTTATCTTTAGATTGGTCGCTGATTCTCTCCATTTTGCAGGCCAAATTGATTCATGAGCCGTTCGATCTGAAAATGGTATTCAATAATATTCGTGGTGCCTCGTTGCAGGGACGCTATAAGGTTGTCGTCATCTTGGAGGCCTTTGATGACGATAAGAATATTAAGCGACCCAAAAGCATTTGTCTGGAGATAATAGGTGATTGTGAGAAGATTTAAAATTTGAAAGGCAATTCGAATTCGAATTTATGTAACGAAAACCTATGCTTAATAATACAACTGTAGTTTAATTAGAATCGCTATCAAAAAGTCTAAAAGAACTTTCTAGAATTCTGCACTACGAAAAACTATTATCGATACACAGCGACACCAACTTTCCTATGGCTTCCCTTTTAAATCAGACGCATATTTAAATTAAACGAAACTTTCGGTGCGCCCTCCTCTACGATTCTCATGAATTCTAGTGGGCCCTCACAATTTGGCGAAATTTTAGTTCTGTGTAAATATTGTGTGTGTGTGTGAACATATAACAGGTGTGTAAATGTGTACGTAATAACATCTTTCATTCTTGCTCTTCCTCTCACTCTCATTGTCTCTCTCCCTCTCACAATACTCTCTCTATCTCTCACAATACTCTCTCTCTCTATCTCTCTTTCCTCTTATGACTCTCTCTTTTCTCTCAAGACTCTCTCTCTCTTCTATGATGACTCTCTCTCTCTTCTATGATGACTCTCTCTCTCTTCTATGATGACTCTCTCTCTCTTCTATGATGACTCTCTCTCTCTCTCTCTCTCCTCTGATGACTCTCTCTCTCTCTCTCTGCTCTGATGACTCTCTCTCTTATTACACCCTCTCTCTCATTACTCTCTCTCTCTCTCTCTCTCTCTCTCTCACTTTCTTACTCTCTCTCTCTCGCTCTCTCTCTCATTACTCTCTCTCTATCTCTTTCTCTCTCTCTCTCTCTCTCTCTCTCTCCTTCTGATTACTCTCTCTCTCTCACACAACCAAAACGTTCTCTCTCTCACAAAACTATCTCTCTCACACAGTACTCTCTCTCTCTCTCTCTCTCTCTCTCTCTCTCTCTCTCTCTCTCTCTCTCTCTCTCTCTCTCCCCTCTCTCTCTCCATCTCACAATACTCTCTCACAATACTCTCTATCTCACAATATTCTCTCTCTCACAATATTCTCTCTCTCTCTCTCACAATACTTTCTCACATTTTTCTCTTTCCTCTTTTAACTCTCTCCTCGCATGACTCTATCTCTCTCTTTTCTCATGACTCTCTCTCATTACTCTTTCTCTTTGTCTCAGCTCCATATTACACTATAGTCTAACTCTCTCTCTCTCTACTCTATATTTTTATATTATAGTCTCGCTTTCTGCTGCTGTCATACTCCTTATTTATTTTATTTTTACAAGTACAGGGTATTGTATTGGCTTATCTTTAATCCCATATTTGATTCTGTGGCTGCGGCACGCGCTGATGTCAACAGACATTCAACTGTCATTCGAGATTGGCCTTTGTTAGTTGTGTATGTGTGAGTGTGTGTGTGAGAGTGTGTGGGCGTGTGTATGTGTGTAGAGTTCTTCAAGCGTTTCGTTAATGCCGCATGTTGCAAGCCGCAGTCTCAGTTTTGTGTTACATGGTTACACACAGTGCCTGCTACTTGTATTCCGCCCGCTCGCATGTGGCAATGCGATCGCCAATTGTATTCGTAATCGCATTTATATTGAAATGGACGCAACTGGCAACTGGCAAATGCAAATGTACGGCTGTCAGTTATTAAATTACTTGATGAATGATATAAATCGTGGCGTCTATTCTCAACTACTTGCCTCACGATTGCCAATTGGCTGCGCTTTAATATTTAGTGCCGATTCATTGCCGATTGTCGAAACGACTTGCCCTAAACAAAACTTTCATTCGCCAAAAGAAGTTATTATTCAGCAGCAGCAGGAGACGCAGCAGGAGACGCAGCATCAAAAACGCCTTCATCTTGCAACACTTTCATTTCAAATTTCTTGTTACACTGTGCAGCTTATATATATATATATGTGTGTGTATATTTTAGCAACTTTCTAAAAACAAATCTGGCCAAAAAGGTGCAAATTAGTGGCGCACGACTTTGTGCAGCAGGCGGCGGAAATTATTGCCCCCGGCCTAACCATACAACGTATATAGAAAATCAATTGGTAGAACTTCGCGATGGCCTTTAGTCATAAAAGCGCCTGTTGCTGCTCACTTTGCATATTGTGTCTACCCTTCCTCTCTTACCCCCCCAAATAAAAGTTGCTAACCCAAAAAAAAAAATGTGCTATGTAGGACGTGGCACAGCAACTGAACCCGTTTGGCCGGCCAGCTACCCGGCCTGCCATCTCCCGGCTAAACCGCTCTAACTAAGATTCACAAGCTCGGCAAGCACAAAATTATCAAACAACAGCAACTGCAGCAACAACAACAACTGCTGCTGCAACTGCAACAACGTGGAAATGATGTTGCATGAATGGCTGTGAACCAGCTGAGCGCGCTGCGAGCTGCGCGCTGTGGCAACTTGGCGAGGCAGCGCGTTTTAAACTCGTGTAGGATGTTTGTAGGCTATTGGAAAGATCAAGAGTTTATAATGTGTCTGTGTGTGTATCTGTGAGAACCTTTCCAGTTTGCCGCTGCCTGTGGCAGTGGCTGCTGCCTCCGACTGTTGTTGCAACGCCTCTCGCGCTGCCGTTGCTTGGCATAAATTGTGGGTTTTTAGGTGTCTCGCACAGTTGCAGTTAAATAGATACATACACTCAGAGAAAAAGCAACGCACTTACATCTAGCTAAGCCAGATATGTGTTCATTCATTCATCATTAAGTTTAATATCATAAAATTTAATCCGAAACTATTTATAAAAAAAAGAAAATTTTTAGAAATTTTAGAAAAAATTTAAGAAATTGTTTACCTTCTTTGTTTTTATAGTTTCGGAATTTAAATTCTAACTTAAAACAAGAATTGTTTGGTTTTTAATTGTTTTAATTGTTTTTCCAGTCTTTCTTTTTATAGTTTCGAAATTTTAAATCGCAACTTAAAATAAGAATTTCGCTAGGAAATTTCAAGAATAATCAGAAAGTGGATTTAAGAAATTGTTTTTCCAGTCTTTATTTGTGTATATTATTCA